GTGCCTCCCTCTGATGTGGCGAGAAGAGCAGCAGCAGCATTCTTCTTCCTGGGCAGCTGAAGGTCAAAGGAGCTCAGAGCTACATTAGCCATCTACAGTTAAAGGTCTGCATGTTAGAGGTCTTTGATTCTTTTTGATTTCTGCCTCTTCACACTTTGCATTTTTATGAAACAAGCAAACAAGGCTTGGTCTGGAAAACACCACTCAGCAGGCACTGCTGCTGTCAGCACTCTCAAAGTCATATTTAATATCCATGACAAGGACAAACAAAGAACCATGTAGAAAAGAATCCACATTGCTAACGTAGTGAAACCCTGTGGCTCCAGAGAAAAGATCTTGGCTAGGAGTCCTGGGACAGCCTGCAGCATCAGCTGAAGTGTGGTACAGGCAGCGAGGGTCACATCTAGGGATGCCCTAGAGAAAGATCAGTGGGAGCTGCAGCATATCAGTGTCCCCAGAAGATAGTCATGTGCAAGGAGCACTGAGGATGGATCATCTGGCCATTGATAACTACACTAATGTCCTGCAAGCCCCTGGGGTGGCATCTGGACAAGCTGCTGGACCAGATCATGCAGACCTTCCAGCTGATGCCACTCTGCTTCTAACAGCCTGCTGCAATGCTTGGCCTTGACTTGCTTGTTCCCACCACAAGACCTGATTGGTTGCAGCAGATCTCCTTCTGATGTACTTTAGTGGTCGTCTGTCTCAGTCATTAGGAAGGAATGATATTTTATCAGTCACCTGTCATCAAACAACTGCTCTGTGTTGTATTTTTTGGCTCTCAGAGCTCTTTGCTTCCCTTTGCTGTTTTATACATAGAGCACAGCAGCATTTAGAAGTCTCCAGTATCATCTACAACCCAAAGTAATAAAGTGGAGGGTAAGAGTGACTAATTAATTTACCCCAGATTATGGGTTAATGCAAAGGGATGGCCAGTGAATAAAATGCAAATCCATGACTCTCATCTACTTGACTGCTACCTCCTGGGGAAGTCACTTTAAGATGTGGATAATGATAGAATCATTAAGGTTGGAAAAAACCTCCAAGATCATCAAGTCCAACCATCAACCAAACACTACCATGACCACTAAACCATGTCCCAGTGTGCCACAGCTACACATTATTTGAACCCCTCCAGGGATGAGGACTCCACCACCTCCATGGGCAGCCTCCTCCAATGCCTCACCACTACAGCAGGAAATAAATTCTTCCTAATATCCAACTGAAACCTTCCCTGGTGCAACTTCAGCCCATTGCCTCTTGTCCTATTGCTGGCTACCTGGGAGAAGAGACCAACACCCATCTCACTCCAACCTCCTTCCAGGGAGTGGGAGAGAGCAAGAAGGTCTCCCTGCAGCCTCCTCTTCTCCAGACTAAACAACCCCAGGTCCCTCAGCTACTCCTCACAAGACTTGTGCTCTAAGACCCTTCACCAGCTTTGTTGCTGTTCCCTGGTCCCACTCCAGCACCTCAATAATCAGTCGATAACAATCAATCAAAGCCACCCTCAGTATGAACAGGACTCCAAGGAGATACCCTAATGTTTCTGATGGAGCAGAGAGCTGCCAGACCAACAGCTCAAGGCAGGGTTGCACTTTTATCTCCCTATCTGCCTAACGTGGCTATGCCTTTCTGATCATGCCATCTGGTCCCCTCTCTCCTATTTTTTACTATTTATTTCCAATTTGTAACACATGCTGCAACCACGCAGGCAGCGTTAGCCTGTAAAGCTGTTCAACCGTGACCTTTTCCTAAATACACAGAAATAAAGTTTGTAAAACAGCTAGAAAACAATGCTGGAATCATCCAGATTACGATAATGAGGCCAGCAAAGATCAATACTAATCCACTCAAAAGCCACTAATTCTCAATCCTTCAGAAATTCTGGTACCCACACCCAACGGTTCATCATTCTGCAAGCAGCACCACAACTCTGTGCTGACATTTACCCTGAAGATACACCATGTCAACTGAAAAATAAGGTTATATGAAACCTGCCAGTTTCAGCTTCCATCACTGTCAAGAAAGCAAACACAAAGCGCAGTCTACAGTGTGACAAGCCCTGAAAACCTGAGGAATCAAAACTAGCTCTGCTCCAAAATGTTTTGAGAGAGTCTTAGAGCCAAATCAGAAAGTTATGGGGTTGTTTTTATTTAATTTCTGATGCTGAAGAAAATGAGTATCTGCCTCCTTTGCTGCCCCTAATTTAATAGGGTTTTTTTGTGTGTGTTTTTTTTTTGTTGGTTTTTTTTGTTTGTTTGTTTGTTTGTTTGTTTTTTTCCTGACAGTGTGCATCAAAGAATTTACCAAGAATGGAGTAGTGCTGTTTCTTTGGAAAGAGCAACTAGGCTGTTCAGCTAATCCTGATGAGTTCGCAAGGAGGAGATGGTAACATGGGTCATTCAGTTGTCATCTAAGGGTATAAGGGGATATGAGCCATTTTTTACTCAGTTTTCTTCACTGTGGTGAAATAAAGTTTCCTCTCCTGAGATAAAACTGGAGCTGAAGGTGGCCTAAGGAAGCATGAGCTCAGTTCATTTTTCCAAAAGACAATGCAAACTCTGTCTGTGCTCCTGGACCTTAGAATCACAGAACAATTTAGGCTGGAAAAAAACAAGATCACCAAGCTCAGACATTAACCCAGCACTGCCAAGCCCACCACTAAGCCATATCACTCAGCATCACATCTAAATGGCTTTGAAACCCCTCGAGGGATGGTGATTCAACCACTGCCCTGGACAGCCTTGTCCAGGAATTGACAACCCTTTTGGGGAAGACAAGTTTCTTCTTGTCCTATCACTTGTTATTTGGGAGAAGAAACTGGTACCAACTTCTCTACAAGCTCCTTTCAGGGAGCTATAGAGAGCAAGAAGGTCTCCCCTAAGACTCCTTTTCTTCAGACTAAACAGACCCAGTTCTATCATCAGCTGCTCCTCCTAAAACTCATGCTCTGGACCTTAAAGACTCTTCAAGTCTCTTCTCACAGTCTTGCAAACAAAGAGGCTGCATTGGTTGATGTCAGAACTGCACGATAACTCTTCTACGTGGCAGAGGTGGACCACACCATGCTGCAGGTACTCCTGAGGCTGGAGTCAGGCTGAGTGCTGCAGCACTGTGGCTGCATTGCAGCCTCTCCCAAAAAACACTGCTCAGGAACACATTTGTCACCAGGTAGGATTCAAGGGCAGGGGCCTTAAAGGTGAAGGTCATTCAGAATAAAGTTATAAAAGTGAAAGGAAACAAAGTGCATTCCTGAGTATGGCCCTGGCAGAGAGGAGTCTGTCTCAGGGTGGCTCCTGAGGCCACAAATTAGCTTTTGTAATTTAGCCAAAATGTGGAGTATCTTGGAAAGGCCTCATAATTATCATATTTTTTTGTCTTCCTGTTAAAAAAGTGTATCTGTGTTTATTTCCTCCTCACAGCTACACAAACAGGCCCTGTTCAACTTCTTGAAAACAGTGACACAGAAGGTTAAAGCTATTGCAGAAAGGCTTTAAATTTGATTCAGAAATTGCATGCATTCACATGATTGCTGAAATTACACAAATGGAAATACTTTTATTTCAAGGTCCTTCTTTTGCTACATTACCTATACTACACTTCATATATTTGAAGATATCTCATAAAACAGAGAGCAGCAGAAAAAATTCCCAAGAAAATCCTTCAGCAAAGTATTATCATTTCCACTATCATTAAATGCAAAGTGTATAATTTTACACTATTCTTTCAGATTTCACACTTCTCTTTCAACACTACACACAAGATTTGTATTTTACCATTTTCCATTTCTTTAAGGTGTTCCTTCAAAATGCCAATACCCTCATCACGAGGGAAAAACAGAACGCACAGTAGAAATTTGTGTCTAAAGCCCTTAAAGCTCAGCAAGTCCTCTCATGAGGACCTACTGAAGCCCATCGTGTTCCACCCAATTTCTGATCTCCTGCAGTACTTTATTTTGACAATATCTGTTCAAACCCCACTCTGCTCTGACACTGATTATGTTGCTCCGTTTGAATCAAGAGCACATATTGCAGCAAGGCAATAACTTCTTGATACTGAGAGGCTGTGTGCATCGATGCTATTACCACACAGATGTCAGAAACTGTTTACAAAAACATTCCCTGTAACAAAATTTAACAAACTAATCAGCCTGTGTACTAGATGTGGGGTTTTTTTGAGTTAATTTTAAGAAAATGGGGTTGATTTTATTACATTGTCAGAGGGTAAATTTGATCAAGTCGTGGCTCTGGAGTAGTAACTATCATCTGCGCTTCTAATATCAGAGGTCAAGTTCAAAGTCTCTCACACCCCACAGGAATGTAGCACAGGATCAAAACACACTCAAGCAGACTGGAGGAAACTGAACCTAGAGCCCCAGTGATCCCAGCTACAATTTCAATGCACAAAATTTTTCCTTTATCCACATAACTAATATTTTCAGCAGCTTCTGAGAAGATAGGTTCAAACGAACCTCTCCTCAGTGTTACCTGCAGCCCAGATCCTTTCAGTCAGAGACAACTTGTTAAGACAGTAAAATGGCACCACTGTCTGATATGATTGGGGAATGGCTGGGTGCCAAACAAAGCAGCAGCTCCGAAGTGTTTTGCCACCCTTACTTCATCACACAGGAGTGCTGCAAAAAGCCCTGCGTGTAATTTCACACAGTTGTGCTTCTGGGGCACTTCAGTGCTGACAGCTCTCCTCAGAGCAGCATTCAATTTATTTCCTCAAGAAGAGTTAATATATAAATATGCTAGCAGCTTTAAGCACATGAGGTTTTAGGTGCTTTGGTTCAAACCTTATTTTTGTGTCTTATTTCCTTCCATGAACCAAAGGTAACAGCAGCAGAATGTACAAAAGTTGGGGTACATGCAGAGAAAGCACTTCCGCATTGGCAATAGAGTATTTTTGTAGCCCAAGTATTTCAGAGTAGCACTCAAACGGGAACTTAATTCAACTTAAAATATAGCAGATGTAATGCAACTGAATAAATGCTTTACCTGTATTCATCCTGCGTAAACCGTGGGATTACTGAAGGCTGCAGCACAGCAATTTCTACAGTAGTGGTGTTGAACTTCACGGGGTCCCCATCATCATAAGCAATGACCACTAACTATAAACAATACAGAAAATCACTCTCTTAGTATAGGCAAGAACATTTTCTATGTTGACTTGCAACAATACTTGTATTTTCAGGGTCTAACAAGTTGGATGGGATTTTCTTTCCGTGCAAATCATACATTGTGTAAGAACAGAAGGTAAAGCAAGGTGACAACCATCCACAAGTTGAACCATCTGCTAGAAAAATTACAGAAACACAGTCAACTGGAATTCCAAAACCAGAGTCTTCAACAAATACCTCTCCAAAACACCTTTCCAGCTTCAAGTACACTTTTCAGAGGATTCCCTTCACAACTAATCACAGACTGTCCTTCCTCAGGATTCCAGAATCAATTTCAATTCCTTTAATGGTATATAGTGCGATTCTATGTCTATGCAGTGGAATAGTTTGTACTGGAAAACCACCTATAATTCCCAATAAAGCAGAAGAAGAGCTAGGTAAGAATTCTGCGTTGCCAACAATGATATTTAAAACTGAGGTCTGAAAGCAAAACAGAACAAAAATTCACATTAACTCCCCTCTAAATAAATCTTCTTAGAAAAGACATCTTTGGTATGCTAAAACATGAACAAGACCTTCTCCAAAGGCAGCCTATTATAAATCTTTTGCTCATCTGAGTTTTACTGACATCTATTTTTTTATTTAATCCCTGCTTGTGTGCTGGAACAAACAAGTTCACCTATTTTCAGCTTTCATATGAAGGTGAGCAATCTGCTAGCAAAAGTCTAAGACACCAGCCCCCTGAACATGGCGTAATGCACGGTTTCCCAATTTCCTCTCTCTCTAAATGTGTCCTTCTTCAGGAGGTCACTAGATGGAGCAGGTCAGCACCTCATTCTAGCAGAGTTTTCAGCTGAGTCCAAGCTATTCGCAGAATAGGTTGGTGAAGAGACAGCTTAAAACAAAATAGGGCATTTTTTTTTTCAGCCAATACATTCAGGAACTCTCCAGCGGAAGGTATCCTAATTGCAGAAAGTATGAATATGTCAAAAACTGACTGGGAAAATTCACAGAAGACTCAGTGGCAGGAACAAACCCAATGCTTCTAGATGGAAATACCAGCTCAAAGTCTCCACATCACTGATTTCTGGAATCTTCTGTGCCTCGCCCATGAGCATCCATATATTCTGACAAGTAGTGCTCTGCTAAATTTACTATTGGTCTGCCCTAGCATAGAGCAGTCTTCACGTAGAAATGTAGCTCCATGCCCACGTGCACACCATCTGTGTGCTGCAGTTTCACAACATAGCCACGCAAAATAATTACCAAGAAGGGAAAAAAAAACAAACACTCAACAACACAAAAAATGCACTCCAGTGATGTTAACCAAGAGGTAATTATCTTGCTCTGAGTTTTACTACATTAAAAACTGAGAAGGACTCAGTGTAGCACTGTCCTAAATCGCTAAAACACCGACAGCATCCCAGCGCTACTTGAGCTTACAGTAGTTCCTGATGGTACACTCAGAAGTGGAAAACCTCAAATAATAAGCTTTAATAAAAACCTTTAATAATAAGCTTTATTCCTTATAGCGGAAAGGTAAGCAAATAAACCTTTCTTTAATCCTCATTTCAAAAGCAAATAACTGGAAGAAAAAACAAATCACACCTTAATTACCATACAGAAAGTGGGTAGTTACCAAGCAGGGAAATTACATATAAACCCCCACATATTATAGGTCCCTTTTTTTTTTTTTTCGTATCGACACACTTTAATTGTAAAATCATAACTTACTTGACACCAACTACACTTGAGACTTTTCAGGAACAAGAAAAACAAAATTGTGATTTAAATCTTCTTAAAGCAAAACAAAATTGTGATTTAAATCTTCTTAAAGCAAATTTTTTTATATTATTACAGGGTTTGTGAGCAGGAAAACCCAAAGCATCCAACTGCACAGTAACTTTCTTTACAAGCTATCTTGTTATTCTCTTAAAATTGCTATGCTAGCAACCCTGATGCAGGGATATCAGCAAGGGAACTTTCAAAAACTGAACCTTCCTTCAGCCTCTGTTTATTCGTCCCTCCTAACAGCAGCAATCACATCCATTCAAAATTGTTTCTGAAATCAAAGGCATGAAACACGCTGGAAAGAAATTAAGGAAGCGAAGAAACAAATAAAAATTTCACATCGATTTATATTGCATTTATATGCAATATAAAGGAACACAGAGAAGAAACATGGAGGTAAAAGGAATTCCATCCAACACAGGCACTGTTTACTGACAATATACAGCTTTATGAGCTTGTACCTTAAACACTGTACTTGGCTCTTCATTTAGGTTTACTCGGGTTACCACACGTCCGGAGTCTTCCTCCACATCAAAAATGCTGGCACTGTAGGGAACTGAACAACATCTACTTTGTACCGCACTCGACTTGCTGGTGTGCCCTGTAAGGCAAAAAGAAAGCAACTTGCAGGGGTTTGTACTTCTACACATCTCATGGAACGAGCAAAGGATTAAAATGCAACATTGGTAAACAGACCATCACCAACAAAACTTGCTGCTTGTCTTCCTCATAACTGGGTTGGTTACTGAGCATTCTCCCAAAATATGCTAGGGTGACATCTGAGAGGTTCAGTAAGAAAAATGAGTAGAGGTTTGGAAAGAAGATGGCTGAAAACCCCATCTACTTAAATACCAACAGAAGCAGTGGTTTGTTTCATAACTACTGCAATGTTTAAATAACAGAACCCAGACATGGCTTAAGATTGGTTACTACACATTTCAAAATTTTTTTAACATGTTACTAAAACTCCTTTAGAGTTCAAGTAAATACTCTCAAACCTCCAACACTTATTCCGCTTGTTCTGACAGTCACAGTGCCTCGTTGCTGAAGCTGGGAAGAGGTGTGTTACATTATTTGCTGAGAAGCCAGACTACAGATCTGCCCACAAGGCAGCCAGGCCTGTATGACATTCACACGCTTCTCTTGCAGAGGAACCAAAATTATAACAGCATCAGATTGCCTGGGCAAACACAGCAGCCTGAACGGACTATTTTTACACAGAAACCTAACAGCAGCATCTGAAGGTTCTACTTTTCACCAAAGCTGAGTGATGAACCACTAATACATTTTAAAACCATCACCTCTAAGATGTAAACCACAGAGATGCTAGGGCCTGAAGCACTTCCAAAAACTTTCCCATCACACTTGTGACATCAGAAAATAAAAAGGAGAATTCTTTTGCCATATCAGTGGTAACAGAGAAAGGAGTTTTGCAGATGGATTTTATGTATCCTCCCACTGTTCAAATGCTGTTTCAATGAGAAGGAACAAGCACAGACAGCCTATGCATGGGTCACAAACTGTCTGCATGCATAGGCACCCAAAAATATCCAATTAAAAGGGGAATTGGAAGAGGCATTTCCAGGGACTGCAACAGATTAATTTTTCAGACCAGTAGCTCAGCATTTTCTAACAGAAGGTTACTTACCTGCTTTAACTGTTTTAACGCTAACTGCCTAAATAGATAACATTTAATGTGAAGGATGAAGTTTTTTCAAGTATCCTTTAGATTTCACTGATCCCGTTCTGGCAGCCACCCTGCAGGGACCTTCCAAGGGTGAGGAGCAGCACCGCATATGCAAGCCTAAAAGGCAGCAGCTCCCACATCAGAGATACAGAAGGGCCCTGGCACTTTGCGCTGACTTGCCTGACACGTCAAGTCCCCGAAAGCAAAATGGGTGGCAATGCTTGTCCCTGGGATCTCCACAGTCCCACCACCCCCTGGTAGTACCCCAGGCTCTGCTGCAACAGCTGCTTTCCCATGTGGGCCTGGAGGAGCTTCTCCAGCAGCAGCACCCACCTAACATCAAAGCAGCAGACTTCTCTGGCAGGAATCACCCACACTCTTTTTGGATGAGATGAATTGTACCACACACTGGTTACAAAGAATGTCTGGGAAGCATTGAATTTTAACAGTTTATTCTCAGCACGTTCCCCTTCACTAGTATTGGTAGCAATCCACTGTTCTCCATGATTAAAAGGTGGCGTAGCAGCAGGTTACTAAAGCAGCAAAGACAGTACAAAAATAAACCAGGTACTAAAGAATTGTGAGGAAAAAAGAGCATCAAAGAAGGAGTTTAAAGCAAAGATGATTTTTTTTTGTTTTGTTTTTCTTTTTTTTTTTTACACAGTGATGTCTGAATAACTTTTTCAGCAGGCCAAAGTCTGTGTTCCCTGGATATGGAGACACCTGGGACATTTCACAAAATTCAAACCAGGTTATGTGCTAAATATGTTTGGGAGGAGATTCAGAGAGGCACTCAGAAACTCAGGTCCTATCATTGCCACTATCTCTGTTTCTAATGCCTGTGAGTCTAGACCTCAGATAAGGTTTTGATCTTCACACTGTATTCTAAATAACAAGAGACAAAATATCAGAGCCCACAGATTCATTAACAGCAAGTTGGTAATTTTCACCCGTATTCCAGAACAGGGTATAAAGCAGCTTTGTTGTTATTGAGAATGTATTCGATGGTACCACGTCAGGAACTAACAACAAGGAAAACAGGAAATTTACTTTTGTAAATGGCAACAAAAACAGCTGCAAAAGTGGTTTAAGTTCAATGAATCGTATCAACATCTTGTTGGTACAACAAAATTGCACCCGAGTGCTCAGTCAAAACAGGGTCTGAACGGAAGGCTTGAGTGTAATGGATTTAGTGCAGGTATTTCACATCATGCCAATGCACACTGCTGAGCTGTGTAACACGGTGCCAGGTTTTGCCACATTAACTCCTGATGAGTACTGGGACTATTCAATGAATAACTGCAACTTCAGTGTGAGATAAGTGACCCTTCAGTGAAGAATATTTGAAATAAAAATTATAAGTAGCTTGCAAGAATCAAACCAATGGTATCAATTTTCTAGCTGTTCCAAGAACCCTAATACCAAAGTCTAACTGTAAAAGACGACGACAGAGGACAAGGCAACCAGGCTACCTCAAAACATAAAACCCTGCACAGGTAACGCTTCGCACGTAAAGAGAAGCGAGATAGGGCTGGATGCAGCCAAGACACTCACAGAGTTTCTGGGGAGCCCTGCACGGCTGCTCCCCAGGATGACTTAAACGTTCAGGGGATGAGGCTGTTGCCTCTTTGAGCCCTCCAAGGAAATACAGCCCAGGAAGGGTTTATTAGGCATCACACAAGGCAGTGTCAGCACCTTTAATGACTGAGAACTTGGTCTGCCAGGCGTGTTTTGGTGTTTAGTGAAGTCATATATGAAAGACCACGTTAACAGTTGGAAGAACTTTTTGGAACTATGCACACACTAAGGAGTACAAATACTTGGGAACATGAGAAATTTCAGAGATCGTAGCACAACAGAGGTGATTACACAACTTGCCCCCTGGCATTCCCCAATTCAATAATTTTTCTTCAACATTGTAATTAAGAGGAAATTACCTGCTGAAATCCACTCTACTTGGTTTCAGAGTAATGGTCCTCATTTGCTTGGAAGACTTAAAAGCTATCATCATCATCATTAGACCTGCACACACCAGGTAATTTGTTATTAAATAAACAAAAATCTCATCAGGTTATTGTTCCTGACATGACTATCAAGTACACTTTTCTCCTGTCATTTCTGAAAATAACAAAACAGGGATTTATTTCTTATTTACTATATTTTGGCACCAATGTAATTAGAAAAATCTCCAGAGAGATTTCCCAGGGAAATCCCTTTGGAAGGAAGCATTAATAATTCCAGATATTAATCATCTTTCGCCACTGTTCTAAATTAATTTAAATGCGTTCCTATGTCTACAGCAAAACTCAGATATAGCAGATAATATTCTCGAATAAACCACAGACAAGGATTGTACTTGGCAAGAACCACGTTCCTGCTCTCAAACCAAAGTCTTCCTGAGAGTTCAGAGCTAATATGAAATGTAGATCTAAACCTCATGCAGTTTCAACCACGTCTCTTATTGCTAATTCCTCACATTTCCATTTGCTCTGGGAAAATGCCATTCATTTGTGACACACCATTTCACTTTCATTTGCAGTCTACTCATGAAGATCCCAGATGCACATCTGGTAAATGGCAGGGATTTTGCCCCTAGGTCCTACTATGGACCAGTGGCATAATGAACACAGACTTATTTACCCAGCCTCTTTGTACTCAATAGAACTTTAGGACCAAAGTCAGGAAACTTCTGAGAGTATTCTAGATAAAATGTGAAAACTGGTGAGGAGGTTAATAAACAACTTCCATCTGTAGGTTTCAAAGCGTGCCTGAATGATCTGCATTGTGAAGAGTTTGCCAAAGCCAATTTTGTAAAATCAATCCCATGGGGGAAAAATAAAAAAAAAGTGATGCTAATCCCCCAAATTCACAGGTGGCTGCACATGTTCTTTGCAACACGCTTAAAGTAAAGAAAGCATTTAAGATGGGGCACATCACACATTAGGCAATTGATTTTGGTGGGTCTTATACCAGCTATGGGTTGTAAACGGTGCACTCATGTATATTCACCATAAATGCCTTTATAAAACCCCTAAAATTTAAAGTATTAAAGTATTTTATTCTTTAGCATGTAACTCAACAAGAGGGGCTGAATTTTTGAATTGCTAAATCCAGAAATTCTGAATTATTAACTATAACAAGCTGAACAAAGAACGTGAACTTTTAAAGCCAGGAGATATACCTACGTTAAGAACCCACTGAGCTTCCAGCATGTTTCCCATATATAAATCTCCATCAGATCCCACAGATCATACTTTTTTGAAGATCAAGCCCTGGACTGTCTGAAAATGCTTTTATCCCAAATGAAATCTCTGTGAATTCTCTAATTATGCATCTGTTAGCATCTTACTTTTAGTGGGTGCCTTGTAAAACAATAAGGACAATTACTCTTGATTTGGCAAAAGGGCTCCATTGAACAAAAACCTTGCAAGATGTTATGAGAATGGATAAACCATTAAATTGGATGTTCTGAAGCTCTGGAAGCTGGCTGCTCGTTAAAATTACTGTCCTGCATCTGTTTCTATTGACATTTGAAATCAACAAAACCAGAATATGCAAGGGAATTGCCCATGGAAGAAATATTCCTGCTTTTACAGCGAGAAACCCTTCAAATGAAAGTGCTTATAGAGAAAAAGCAAACACCTCCAGTTATACCAGTCCTGGGAATATTCACCTTCTGCTAAACAAAGCAAGCATCTCTCAAAGATCTCATGTTGCTCTCCTTTCAAAATACTTGAAGGGTTAAGAGCTTTGAGAACATAGTCATAAATCATCTGGCATCTTTCATCACCATGCCACTTCAGTAAAGCCTAAACTGCTCACAATGTAGAAAACTTCTTCTCTCTGAGGACAATCTCAGGTGTCCTTGGGTAACACAGGGGTGTGCGAAGCCATCTGTACAGAGCTGCTGAACACCATCACAGGGAGCCCCTCTGCTAAGCTCAAATCCCTCCACATGCAACCGGCCTCATTTAAAACACAGTTTTGCAAACTTTGGTACGTAACAGGAAATAAACCAGGCTTAAAACAGTCTCTGAAGAGCTGATTAGGCCTGAAAAGCTTTTATTGCAGGTAAGGGAAAAAAAAAAACTAGCTTGACTTGTATTCTGGGTTGAGTTTCCTGTTGACAGGGGTATAGTGTACACTATGTGAGAAATGACAATAGAAAAAATTCAGGCATGGATACTTTAAATTAGGTTTTTATTAGACCTGCCTGGATAATCAGACATATTTTAAAGCCAAAATTATTTTCTTAATAAATAGTAGTTTCTTCTCCTGAACTGATAAAATAGATATGTAAGGAAAAAGTTCTTCACTATGAGGGTGGTGAGACACTGACAGAGGTTGCCCAGGGAAGCTGTGGATGCTCCATCCCTGGAAGTGTTCAAGGCCAGGCTGGAAGGGGCTTCGAGCAACCTGGTCTAGTGGGAGATGTCCCTGCCCATGGCAGGGGTTTGGAACAAGATGACCCTTAAGATCCTTTCCAGCCCAGACCTTTCTATGATTCTATGCATTAGTAGCATCCAAGTAAGATTCCACCAGTTTAAAAAAAAAAAAAAAAAACAAAACCACAAACACGGAACTAAATAATAGATGATGATAGCTAAGAATATCCTTTCCCTTTTAAACCTGTTTCTGGTGAACCCATATCAAACACCGTGACACTGTTTAATGTCAAAGTCAGCTCCAAATAAATACAGATTTGCCAGTAGCACAAAACATCTAAACAGGTTGGCTCAGTCAGAAAAAGAAACAAAGCCATTTAAGTCTCATAGTGTTCTCTATCTTTCTTTTCATTTTAAAAGTAAAGCTATCAGTTTGACATAAAATACCAACTTTCAAAAACTATTTTAAAAACTTTCCCCCATAGTTAGCTAACTTTTACAGCTACTATATTCACTAGATGCCTAAGGGTAGCTTCATTTTAGAGGTTTCATAAAAATCAAAGAAATGCAACAGCTGATTTTGAAGGACATTATCTCCATGCTGCTGCCACCCATGTTTCTGCCTGTTCTAATGATAGCAAACAGGATCCACACTCCGTGACTGTGATCTCTCTCTTATGCATGTGCACCAATTTCTCCACAAAAGTAAAAATGATCCCCACATCTTTCAAATATAAAACACTCAAAACCGTACAGAAGGAATCCATAGAAATACGTAAGGACAGCACAAGGAAGGAATCTGGGAGACAACAGCAGTTTTGTCAAGGTCTTTGTTCTGCCCTTCTCATACCACCTGGAGAGGGCTGCTAGTACCCCCATATGCAGCACCCAAGTGCATCCAGGGACAGCTCCTACGTTTATCTGTTCAAGTGACAGTGACAGAAGAGTTAGAAAAGGAGAGATTTCAGAAGGGTTTGTTTGTTTTTATTTTTAAATGAAAAAGTGAAATAACTTTGCATTAGGAAATGTTGATTCCACAGGATTAAGAGTTGTTACAGATACACATTAATCAGTTTCTGAACTATCCCGTTTCATCTGGTATCTTAGGGATATCTTATTCTTTAAAATTTAGACACATTAAATCCAGGGATTATAAAATGGAGTTTATACCAGAATGGGTAAATACTTTATCTAGACCAAAATATTTTGCTGTAAGGCAACAGATACTATTAAATAAAAGCTGCACAAAAAACCCAATTTAAAAACTTGATTTTCTAGCACCAAGGAACAATTATTTTTTTTCTTTCCATTCTCACTAACCCATTTATGTCAAAATTTCCATGGAATAGAAATTCATCTTCTTGCCCAGTTTCAGTGATCCTTAACATCCTTTTCTGTAGACTTTTCTCAAAGGGCAGTGTAATAAGCCTGTTAGGAGCAAATATGTACTGGAGCAAGGGGCAGAGACGGGTCCATAGGATTGTAACTAACGGACTTAATATTTCTACTGATTTCTACTGTGGCTATCAAAAAAATTACCAAATTTCAACAGTAATGCACAGCCAGCTTTCCCCACGCTCCACTGGCAGATCGCTCTGAAGCAACTCCACTTGTGCTACGGGCAGAGTGTTTCCTTTCAAACGACTTGCTGCTCACTGCTGAGGGTGAGAGCTCTCCAAGGGAAATGGTGTTTCCCACCTCCCTGGCTCCCGAGTCATTCCTAGGGAGAACAACAGAGAGTCTTCTCCAGCTAAACAGCATCTGCTGAACTCCCTGAACTACTGAATGTATTTCAGACTCATTTACATGCAGGCAAGGTTGAATAATTTGGTGGTAGTACTCCAGCAGTAGTTTGTTCAGGAAAAAACGCTAGTAAAATGAGCTAATACCTTTGTGCAGGCTTCTAATGTCACCCAGAAACTTTGCCCACTTTGATCTTACCTTCCCTTCTGTATTTGCCACATTACTACATCTAACATACAGAAAATAAGACATTCATGAAATGTGAGAGTAAAAGTCATTCACAGAGTAGAATCAAATACTTTAAAATAAATTTTAAAAATGTTTTCCAGCACACAGCTCTGGAACCTGAGCAACAAAGCCTTCTTTCCCCTGCAAATCTAAGGATCAAGACTAAGATGATGGTAGAAACCTAGGCCTGGTGTGCCCCAGAGTGAGTAGTGAATAAGGCCAGACCAAAACACTACAATTGCACGGAGACAAGAGGCAGCAGGAAGGAGAGTGTTGGTAGCTGTAATGGTTCAAGTCCAGAAAAGGATGAGGTGGTGTGGGCACCAGTCTGGTTAACTTTGCATGTCCCTTTTCTTCAAAGGTGCTGCAGCTTCTTACATTTATAGCAACTTCCTGGCTTGGAAGGCTTCCACATAGCTGCAAGCATACCTCAAGTCTGTCAGGATCTCTGGCCAGCTTCTTTCCTGGTAGTTAAGATATTTTACATGGAAACAGAAATAGAGGTTTGAATCCTTCAGTCAGTGGAGGGAGAGCAGCCTAGGCCTCTAACATCCCATGGAGGGACTTTTCCTAGCAGAAGGGTCTTAGGCTATGTATTTTTTAAGGCATCTCTAAAGCAAGACATGAGAAATTCCCACTTGCCTGTACTGATCAGTCCATTGCATACATGTGCTGCCTATTCTGCTTTTATTTAAGCAGATTTGTGATTAACACGTTGGCTGGTTGTGAACCTATTCTGATGTGCCTGTGTCCTATGGAATCACAGAACGGTGGGGGTTGGAATTGATCTCTGGAGATCATCCTATCCAACCCCCCTGCTCCAGCAGAGACACCCAGAGCAGGGCACCCAGGGTCCATATTCAGGTAGATTTGGAATCCTCCAGAGAAGACGACTCCACAGCCTCTCTTGGCAGCCTGCTCCAGGCTCTGGTACCCTTGTAGCGACAAAGTTTCTCCTCCTGTTGAGATGGAACCTCCTGGGTTCCAGTTTGTGCCTGTTGCTCCTTGTCCTGTCACTGGGCACCAATGAAAAGAGTCTGGCCCCATCTTCTTGAAACCTGCTCTTTAGATATTGTTAAGCAAGGAGCTGTACACACATATTTGGCTCCATTCTGCAAGCAGAGCACTCAAAATGAGCCACCAAAATCTCTAACACTCTCCTTCAAACTGTCCGAGACTAGCACACCTCTCTCCATTTCTTTTGTTTCCTGCCCGGATAATGTCTGTGTCCTCTGCTGCCACATTCCTTAAACATTCTGCAGCACTACTGATTGATAACTACCACTACTCACTACCTACTTGATGATACTGCTGTCTTCCACATACTTTAAACAGACAACAGGTGAGATCTTCAGCTTTTATAAGCTACCTTAAATGCCTCCAAGTTCAGTGATAACCCACCGATATGTGTCACCTGAAGGGCATTTACTTTCCTTTGTGTTTTAGGACTGCTTGCAAGGGGAGAGCAGGACCGTCCCTACAGAAACACTGCTTTAGCATCTCTGTCCTTGAGTGGTAAACAAATTACTATGTAGCATATTTAGCTAAGCTACAGCTGATTTGTGTCAAGGCACTGCCATCAGCTTTTAACGTGCATGGCACATTCTCTCTGAACTATCCTCCCTCAGGATTATTCTCCTTAATATGCCAAACACTAACAATTAAAAATTAAACCGGGCTGGCAGAACATCTTTGGCTTTCATTGTCCTCGGTGTATCATCTGGTCACTGATGTTCATCAACCTCTGATTACAAAAATTGATATTACCCTTCAGAATAGCTAACAAGTCAAAAATATGTGCCAAGTTCTGTCAATCAAGTGCTTCACCAGGGAACAGCGAGAAAAGCCAGTGGCAGAAATAAACTGTATCCCCAAACCAGGTGCACTTGGTTCCCATACTGCCCGTGCAGCAGGGCTGGCTGGAGAGCTGCGCAGCTCCCCACGACCCTGCGATGTCTCACACGGGACACGCACAGCAACGGCAACATCAAGGAAGCAACAGTTTTACAAAGTTGAGTTTTGCCTCCTCTTTGAGCTGCAGAACCGTACCAAAGACAGGCACGGCTTCCCTTCCTGCCTGTTCCTCTTACTCATTCATGCTGTGAAGTTGGATAAAGAACTCTGCAAAAATCTTCCTGACAGAAAGGAGCTGTACCATTGATCTGCCAGCTTCAGGAACAATCATTGTAAATGCAGCCTCTGCCCAGAACAACAAAGGACAGGCTGACATACAAAATGTATGAGTTACTGCTCTGTGAAACTCATAATAATCACCTTTGTTGTCGAGAGAGTTAGGTCACTTATGAGGGTTAAAGATTTTTCCCTCTTGGGTGCAGAGTATTAATAGAACCTTTTTGCTTACCGGAGGATCTTGATCCTCAGCTGAAATGGTCGTGATAACGGTGCCCTTGACTGCATCAGGAGCCACCATTCCCCTGTAGAGCTTTTTGCTAAATACTGGAGAGTAATCGTTCATATCCTGCAAAACATAATTAAGAGTTTAGTTCTGAAACTCAAACAAAATTACAGACATGCTCACAACCCTTTTTTTTTTTTCAAACTCCACTCAAACACTCCGTCCTCATCAGGAATCCTATTTGCCACTCAGCGTCTCTCCTGGCTCTCAATTCCATTACCAACACACAAAACCAGCACACGAGGGGAAGGTGCCCAAGTTGCTGAAAAAACATTCATGTGAGACAGATCAACAGAAGGAAATTCTGCAGCAAAGCACACAGCCTCACAAGTGAACAAAGGAGAGATCCCCACAACACCTGCTTCTCAAGCAGTGGGGCACAGCATGGCTGTGCTCATTTTCTAAAATGAATGAGCTGCTGTTGCTCCACAGTGTTTGCTACTTCTAGTATGCCACAAAGGAATGGAAACTAAATGGCTGATTAGTATCAATGCCCCACGAGAGCTTAAGATGGTGCTCTTCAGACTGCTGGGTACATTGTCAAAAAGAGTCTTCAAAGGCTTGAGGTAAGCCAAATTTGATGGATGTGGTAGCATGTGTATGCACATACGTGCACCTCCACACCTACCTATGTGTACATACATTCACGTGTCACTCCCTGCATGAAAGCTGTAACCTCATGGAGGCTGTGTGGATGGTGTGAGCTGCGCTGGTGTAGATGCAGCAGTCATGCCCCATGCAGCAGCAGCCTTGAGTGTTCAGAGGGCCAGCCACCATCATAGGTTATTAAGAAGGTCATCATTCAGACAGTTGTTAAGTTGCCACAAAATAATTATTAAAAAAAAAAATAATTAAATGTACATTTCTAAATCACAATGTTCATTCTACTAATAAAACTAATTTTTCCATTTTATTTTCTGTAGAGCCACTTCCCTAGTTTGAATCCTACTGAGAACAGATTATTTTTTGCATACTACTATTCCCATTGTTTTGTGCATATGGATAACATAGATTAAGTTTCCTGGTTTGTTTTTCATAGAACAGATCCAAAGCATCAGATGCCTTCAGCACACATGAGTAGCTTTACTAATCCACAAACAGAGAGCAGTTATTTTTCTTCCCTTGCAAGCAGACTGTGTGCCTGAGCTCAGGGGGGGGATAGAGGTGCCCCTATCTCTTCCACACAAATACAGCTACTCAAAGGCTATACAGTGATGTTTCTACCTGTTGTAACAGCTCTTCATGCTGCAAAGGCAATATGCCGATACTGGCTAGCACACAACCTTTTAAAACATTCACCCACATCTCATCAGAAGAAACAACAGTACAGTAAACATCTCTATTACCATTACAAAAAAAAAAAAAAATCAAGAAAGCCTGTTAGAAGTCCATGTAGTGAATGCCTGAAAAATTAATGTGCTTGGTTCAGTTGAAAGGTCTGCAACTCAAGTCTTTGAGGCATGGGAGATGCTTTTTCTCTGCTTTTCAGAATTTCAAAGAGACAACTGGATCATCAAAAAGTGACTACTAGGTAATTCCAACTAGGGAAGCATTCATAAGAAAACATTTTGGAAAAACACTCCAATTCAAACTGATTAACACTTTTGCATGGAATTACAGGCACTGAATCTTATAACTCCAATTTCTTGATCTCTTCACATGAAAATAAATTTACTGCACCTGAGAATTTAGTACCCAGGACAATTTTACATAAACAACCTTGCTTCTCATGACTCTTCAGAGTGACATTGTGCTTTTGCAATAAGCTGTCCTTTGTTCCCTTTGCTGCCAGAAACTCCACTCCAGAGCAATATATTGCTGTGGCAAAGAAACCACATCATACAACAATCCCACCCTGCAGGACCCCATGCACAGCCATTCTACCTCAAAGAAAAGACAGGGGTTTGCTTTACTTGAAGCAGACACAAGTTAGCTACGAATACAGACATCCTAGGCACGGAATATTAAAAACCATCTCCAGCACAATAGGAGAAATGTGATCCAACACAGGTCATACAACAGGGTGCATTGATGTGTTTGGAACCAGTTTGCTTGGTAGACCCCAAAGGTTTTTCCAGTGGGATACACAACCTTTTAAAAACAGCATACACACCTTCTGTGCTTAGATCTGGGGTAATGATTCAATACTATGCTTACAATAGGTCTGGGTTTAGTTTGGGGTTATTTTCAGCTTTTGCTTCCCACGATCAGGATGCTTAGCACCACCTCCTTGAAGCAGGTGAAGTTTCTGGAATAACCCAGACTTTTATCTGTATCTATTAATTTATTTTGAAGTCATTTCTCTGTGCACCTGCAAATCCACAGCCATATCCTGTGCTTTTTTCTTTGGTGTAGCAGCGAGAGATCCCACTCTGTTGTATGCTCACTGGGGGTGTGGGAACAATCACCGCGTGGTGGTTTTGTTATCTTTTGAATAGCTTTATGTGACCTCAGTGCCTGAAAATCTCAGACTTAAGGTATTGGGAAGCGTAATCCTGTCTAAAGATGATACACTACATCCTCCGCTACAGAAAATGACTAAGTCATCCTGCTTAACGCACTTATTTTTCAAGATATGTGGATCAGTGCAAAAAAAACCCAGAATACAAAGCAAAGGATAAAGTAGGACATGGAAAGCCTTCAGCCTCTCTGACTTACCTTTCCTCAAAGACAAGCTTTATGCAAGATCATGCCTCATAGACCTTGGCCGAGATGAGTGAACAGGCACCAAATGTTTCAGTCATAAACAGTCAGAACAGCTCCATGTGCTTTTCTTCCCACCTCACCTCTTCCAGAATCCTAATCCTAATTCCTGAATCCCACTCTGGGACATGGTTCAGTGATCACAGTAGTGTTGGGTTGATGGTTGGACTTGACTATCATAGAGGTCTTTTCCAACCTTAATGATTCTATGAGTCTAAAGCAGCCACTGTTTTTGTTTTGTTTTGTTTTGGTTTGGTTTTTTTTGTTTTGTTTTTTTTTTTATAGCAGAGTTCAAGCTTAAATATTTCCATTTTTAACAAAATAGAACTTCTCCACAAGAACCACCACAGGTCTCCTCATGACGCAGCTGCAGTAAGCGTGCTTCAGAGAGCAAGACTGTCCCTGCAGACAGGACACTGAGTCTCATGTACTCATGGCAAATGTTTTTGATTAATAACTGCTAGAAGCAGAATGGGGATTTTTATTCAGGCAGAAGATTTAACATACAAAACATATAGATGACACGGAAATGAGATTTTTTTTTTTTTTTTTGGTTGTAGCACTTGCTTTATTCTACTGAAAGTTTTGGTTCAGAAATGGTAGGAAGAAATGACTCTTCTGGGCAATTTCTGGTAGAATAAGTAGAGATTTTGTTAGAGTCAGGTTAGAGATATTCATTTGTTACCATCACCTTCAAATGGTATATTCAGTCTTTACACATTACGGGCATTTAAAGGTTATCAAAAAGGTTACAGAAAGAAATCATTTGTTTTCTGGCAAACAGCACCACCACCAAGGATGGAATACAGTCTAGAGCTGATTTTCTAAGAAGACAGAAAGAAAGCACACACTATTTTCTCAGAATAGCTCACGAGGTCATGGTCATGATCTGCCCCATCCCACACCCCAAAACCTGTGCCCCTGTAGTCAAGGTCCCAAATCCAATTTTCTTCATTGAAGTGGACTTAACAGTGAGTAGTGTTCAGCATTCCCTGACAGAGAGTTTTCAGGTTTACATCAGAGGGACTTTGGGCAAAATGGTAAAATTTAGAGAAAGTGCTGGGCTTCTGTTATTTCTGGAGACCAAAGACACAGACATGTTTTTGCAGAGCTAACTAACTGAACATTACTCCACACCAGGATGGTTTCTGCTTAAAAGCCCCTGAAACCTGACTTTGCACAGGTATGGATGCAGCATCTGAGTGCATTCCCCCACATGTTGGGAGAAGGGTAGTAACCTTCAGCAAAGTGGTGAAAAGAAGTAGTGTGATAATCTTTTAAATCTGGGGTACGATCCTACACACACTACTGCAGCCAAACTGCAGCACCTTACAACTGTTCATAGGTCATTGCTTCCGTCACATAGATCCAGCAGCCACATTTATGTATAAATACAGAACAGCCTTTGTGTCCCTGCTCATCTCACTGCAGATTTATTATATTTTTGTACAACTTTGTTTACAAAACAGAGTGAAAGTCAAAGCATAAAACTCCCAAAGCATTCCTCCTATCATAGATGCTCTTCATCTACCACTTTTTGTTCAGTATTGTTTCACATTACTCACACTGGGCAGCACATAAAAGCAGAACAGGACACATCCTTCCCTTGCACAAAGATTAAGAAACAAGCATGAAGAGAGCACAACATGGGGGAGATGCTCAAATATTACTACTGTTCTTGAGAATCCACATTAGTACTTTCAAAAGCAAACGAAGACACATTAAGAGATTTCTTGATGTCAGCTCATTTGCTCACTCGGATGTCACCCACAGCATGTGAACGATCTCACATCCTGACCAACTTCCTCACTCTCTGAATGAGACACGTCTCACTCACAAGATCTGAAGGATTGTTACTTAGAAAAAGGTTTGTAGGCAACAAGTATTGACCTGGCTGCAAAGATTATGAAAATGCTGAACAGAAACCTTGGTGAACTAAGATAGTCATCTAGGAATGGCAATGGGGAGAAACAAAGCGTGGAAGAGGAAAGGCATTAAAGAGGAAATCAATATGTAATTTAAAAATCATTAAGACAGTCAGTAGTTGTAATGCACTAATACTAAACTAGGTGTTCCCAGACAGGTGGTGACTGCTGCCATGGGAAGGCAAAGCACAACCAGAGCAGAAGAAAAATACCTGCAGTACAGCATTCCCAACTTAAAATTCACTTGTAAAGTTAAATGCACTTCAGAGACATTCCTGTACTTTTGATTAATGGGGACATCAAGAGATCTTTCATAGAATCATAGAATGATTTGGGTTGGAAGGGACCCTTAAAGGTCATCTAGTCCAACCCTGCCGCAAGCAGGGACATCTTCAGCTAGAGCAGGTTGCTCAGAGCTCCTTGAACCTTTCCAGG